TTGCAGCAGTTGAAAGTATTTATTTATTCAGCAACTTGCCTAATTGGCAAGTTGCCGTCTTCTCTCAGTAGCTCCTTTCTTTTTCACCCGCAATCCACCACCGTCTGCTCATTAGTCTCCTTCTCCCCACATTCTCACTATTTTTAGCCACAAATCTCCATTTCTCCATTCTTTAATCCTCACAGCTCAATTCACAGCAGTCAGCAAGCAGCATGCTTCCTTCCATCACTGTGTTTCCAGCCTCAATCTTCTCTCCTTTTCTTCCTTGTTTCCAGGGACACTTTCTTTACTATTGCTCACCCTTCTGCAGTAGCCAATCCATCAACTCAGCAGCAGCATCAGTTGGTAAGTAGCAGAGTTACAGCTGTAGTTCTTCACATATTGTCATTCTTTCTCTTCTTCTAGTTGTAGCAGCATCAACTTGTGGTGATGGCAAAGCAATTTCTTTCCTTGGGCACCAAGATTTCAGCTCGTGGCTCTTCCTTGATTGACAGCAGCAACAGCTACTACAGCAGCAACTTGGCAGCAGAGCAGGTGCCCTTCTTCTCCTCTGTCAATATGATAATTATCACATGTGATAATTATTTAGAATTAGTGATATTGTGTAGTTATTATCTTGTATTTGATATTATCTCATTTGGTGTTATCCTAGTTGTAGGTTCTGCTATTTAAGTCATGTAATAGTCTATTGATCAATTGCTAAATTGAAGCCATTCCATTCTCTAAGTTGGTATCGAGCCGGGTTACAAAACCAAAAAAAATAGAAAAAAAACATATTCTTTTCTTCCATCTTTTCTCCGGCCAGCCTTCTTTTCTCTTTCCCGGGCCGCCGATTTCTTCTTTTTGGCCGTGAGAAATCCTTTCTCCATAGCCAGGTTACCTTAAAAAAAACCACACTCTGCTTTTTTTTCTTCTTCTCCTTTGGCCGCGTTATCCCTCCCTTCTCTTGCGGCTGCCGACCCTTTCCCTTGGCCGCCCGTTTTCTTTGCCGGGTTCTCCTTTCCTCTTGTTTTGCCGCCGCCGGCACCAACCAAAAAAAAAAGAAACAACAAACAAAAAGGCTCTCTTTCTCCTCTCCTTTCCTCGTCGCCACCGCCGCTGGTCTCTCTTTTTCTTTTTTTTTCTTGGCCGATTACCCTATTATTCTTCCCCTGCCGCCGCCACCGACTCTATTTCTCTCCCTTGTCGCTGTGTGCACCTTTGCTGCTGCCGACCTTCTCTTTCATCCTTTCTCTTATTTTCCGCCAGCTTTTCCTCTTCTCTCAGTCGACGCTGCTCTTTCCCCTTTGTGTCCATGTGTCCACGGTTCTCCTTGTGAAACGCAAAAACAAAAAAATCTCCTTTGCACCCCCCACGCACTATCATTCCTTTGCTCCCATCACTACATCTATCATCACCTCATCATCAAGACATCAACCGTCCCCCAGCCATCATCCATCATCCTCATCATTCAAATTTGAAGTTTGCAATTATAGCCCTTCTACTTTATAAAATGTCACACTCAGTCCCTACTGTTTATCTTCTGTCCAAATAGTCCTATCTCTTTTATTTTTTACAAATAAGTCCTAGTAATTTAAAATTTGTGCACATAGGTTCTACAGCTCCTGCATTTTTCAATTGAGTCTTTTTCTTTTTTTAGCACTTAATAAAACAGAAAACCACAACACCAGAACCCCCTACCAAATTCTATTCGACCACTGCGTAGCAAGGACATAGTATCTCTTTCTATTTTTTGCTCGGGCCGTCTAGAGGACGTTGTTGCATTCAAATCAGGCATACAACCTCACTGCCTCTCCCCTAAAACTCATCATCCGGGTCGAGCTGCATTCTTGCGCCCCCATCATTCATCATTCGGCCTGTGCTGCATTCTTGCGCCACCTTCGGTCGTGCTGCTTCTCTTTCTTGCGCTGCCGTCAGTCCTTGTTACTTTACCGCTCTTGTTCGCTTATTGTCTGTTGTTGCTGCATCGTGGTCCACCTGATTCTTGGGCAAATTGAGAGTACTACCTTCTCTACCATCAGTTTGAGGGGACGTGTCAGTATGATAATTATCACATGTGATAATTATTTAGAATTAGTGATATTGTGTAGTTATTATCTTGTATTTGATATTATCTCATTTGGTGTTATCCTAGTTGTAGGTTCTGCTATTTAAGTCATGTAATAGTCTATTGATCAATTGCTAAATTGAAGCCATTCCATTCTCTAAGTTCCTCAATTGAGTGTGTTGCTGCAGATTCTTCGCAATTGTGATCATCTGCAGCCATTCTTCCTTCCTCAGCAAGGATTTCTCCACTTGCTTAAGCTCTGATCGATCCTCCAGCAGCTCCTATTTCGGTCCAGAATGATGCTCTTATGTGCAATTTGGCCCTTATTTATGCTGATTTTCCACATTAGCCCCTAGATTATCCTGAAATACAAAATCAACCCAAAAGTAAACTAGTTCTAATGAATTGACATCTAATTCTAAGTAAAAATGAGTAGAAAATGCCTAGTAAAAGTGTATATATTTTACTGTCATCAGTGCTCTTTATTGCTCATAGATACCAATGTGGGACAATTACTATTACAGATGACTTCAACAATCTCTCCCGTCATGAGTACCTCACCATATCAAAATGCAATTCTTTTTTCTGTTGTAACCGGCTAACCGCACTACAAGCTCACCTTTTCTCCAAGCCGGAAATTAAGGAGACAACTTCAAGAGTAACGAGTTTCATGGGTTAACCAGCTATACAACTTCCAAAGCCTAGATAGCCCACTAGGTCTAGCCAATTTTTTGCTCTAATACCACTTGTTACGAAATCTTGCCCAGGAAATGAGGTCTAATGAATTTCAAAATCGAGCCAATTAGTAAGTAGGAATGTACCTCAACCTAAAAGCTCAAAATAATAAGTTTTGAGACCAACTTATTTGAGAAATTTTTCTCTATTGATCCCAGATAGCAGTGTAAAATAATTATTTCTACTCTTGAACTCAACAGCAAGAGTCCAAAAAAAAGTAAGAATGTTTGGTGAGAGATAAGTTTGTGTTAAAAAACAAAACAAAACAAAGGTAATCAAAACAAATTAAGATATGACTTAAAAAAACAAAAGTAGAACTTTTTGAGGTAGCATATACTATGAGTCGGGAATACCACGCAACTTATCAGTTCTTCTATCAAAATTAAGATTTGGAATGAATTAAATAATAGACTAGTGATTAGGATGATGTCTTTATTAGGAGTGGATCCGGGTTTAATTCGTACTAGTTGGGTTTTATAAATGAAGAATTTTACCAACATTTAAGTAGAATACACTATGGTGAATTTTATTATTACTTTTTTTTTTTTTGAAAAAGATAAGATTCTAATATTAAGATGGATAATTCAAAGTTTTTGTGCAACTACCCTGTCAAACGTCAATATTCAACTTTTTATCGTACTCGCTGAGTAAATAGTACCAATAAACGAAACTGATGTACGATAAAAATTCTGTAAATTAGTGAAACAAGTTCTACGAAGTCAACAAACACAATGATGTACGATAAAACTCTTTTAGTTGGTAATGAAATCAAATTTTTTTATCCAAAAAAAAAGGAAAGAAAAGAGAGAGACGCATGAGGGTTAGGGCATTAAATTTGGGGGCAATGACAATTAAGGTTTATGCATGGGATGCGGAGTTGAAGAAGGTGCAAGTAAAAGTAATATGAGTAGTGTTCTCGTTAATCGAGATACTATAAGTTATAAGGGCAGGCCGCTTGAGGGCATTTTTTGAAGAGTGCATAATTTACAAAAGCATCTTTGTGAGGAACTATCATCGATATGGATTGGCTCATATTTAGAGGCCAAAGAAATAAAAAGCTATATTCTACCAAAAACCAACATTGCATATAAATGTAAAACCAGCTTCTCTTACTAAAAATAGTAAGTCTATGTAAAGCTAGCTCAAATTTATTGATAAAAGCCATTACAAGGCCATTAATTACTTCTTCATGGAATTTAGTAGTACAAGACTAAAAGGTGACATATGTAATTTTATAGTCAAAATGGTGGCCAATTAATGATCATCACCATTTTGTATACACACCAACATAATTAACATTTCGTGAGCGTGAGCCAACATATAAGGTTCCTCCTTGTAGAAGATCAGAATACTCTTGCACAGCATTAATTTGAGCATTGCCGAATTCCCCAGTAAAATTCTTAAAAATAAGTATCTCACCCTTTGAATTGAACTTGTATCCATATCCATTAGTCACAAGAGGTTGCTGTTGAACAATAATATTTGCTGTCCCCCAAAACAATCCGAATTCTGGGGCTCTCTTGATCTTGATAGGATAGCCTGGTAAACTATTGATCAGAACTTCGGTTGTTCCCGCTTTTAGCCCTATGCTGTAATACTTGAAAACTTGTAGAGTGGCTATAGAACCATACACAACAAATGTGCTGTCTGCACTAACTGCCGGTCCGCCCGGAGAACGTATGTTGGTCAATAATTCTCACTTCTCCGGTCACAATGTTATATTCTAATAATCTTCCAGTTGAATCTTCTGGAGGAGGTTGCTTTCCCAGAGAAGCATCCCTATTGTAACAAAAGATAGCATAATTAAATAAAAGGTTGAACGTAAAACTTTAGTTCAAATAATGATAGAATGCTCCAAAATTAACGAACTGATGACAGAGCTAACTCAACGCATGTTGAGGCCTGAAGCGTAATTTTAATTTAGAACCCTCCAATAGTCGGATTTCGATAAACAAAATTTTGGTTAAAATACTTTAAAATTTCTATGCAAATAATTTTATGAGAATTATAACATTCTTCTCATGTCAAAATGTTTATGTTAGAAGCTTTTTTATTATTATTTCAATAATTATTATAAAATAATTATAGTAAATAAAATTCGAAAAAATGAGAACCTAAATAAAATTAGGCCTGAAATTAGGGTTTTAGTAGCCTCCCCTGAAAGCCGGCACTAACTGATGATTTAGCCCAAAGAATAATAAGCTGAATGGAGACGTACGTGAAGTTAATCGCCTGGCAGATTTCTGTGAAGTAAACAACTCTTTTGAGTGTATCGACATCACAGCCATTAAGAAAGTTGAATCGTACGCCATTCGCGCCTGTAGCAAGTAACGTGGCTTGTCCGCCTTTAGGGCCAACTCTATAGAATCCACCCTAAGCACCCACAACGTAAAGATAATTAGTCAATGGATCGAAACTAAACCCTAATGGCCTTCCGCATATAGGGCCTAAACTTAGGTCTGTCACTCCATCACATAGCTGCTTTGACCTAAGAGAAGACAAAATTGCAATGTATTATTAGATTATATTGGTCTCTTTGCCCATGAAATACAACTGGTACACAAAAACAAAAAATATGAAAAAGCATATCAAATCTCCATTATTTATTTTTGTGGGACGATTGATTTATATTTGTATTAAACCGAAACAATATCATACGATCAAATATTTTGTTCCCGTTCGATCTAAAGCATATGGCATATGGTATGTAACTAAGTCATAGTTATTAGAAGAGAAGAAATTAATATCACCTGTTTGGAGAAAGGTAAGCAAAATCCACGAAATCAGTTCCATTGTATTTAAGAATTCTACCATCACTTACACCCACATACGGACCTTGATTATTTGAATCTCGGGCAACTGAATCAGGACCAAAGGGTCCAGGCACTGGAAGGTTTAGTTTGGAAAATTTAGTGTATGGATCCGGAAGTGGGAAAGTAAATGAGTGAGGAATGAAAAATAGGATGCCAAAAATGGATAACATTGTGTACAACATTGTAGTATTGTACTGTGAAGGTGATAAGATTTAGAAGGAAATTCTGCAGTATTTATAGGCAGGGGGCATCTCATTAAGTTGTGGTATAGGACGGCTCTGAGATACAAAATATTAAAGATTTTCTGCATCCACCAATCGTGCATTTTATAACTTTGATGCTAGGTTCGGGACAATCGGGTAAAGATATCGAACAGTTTGGAACTGGAGTCAAATAGTTCAAATTAGTTTATTAATGGGTTATGCCTCCCAAAAAGATCTACTCTACTTGAATTCGGTTTTCAGAGCTCAGATATCGGACACTAACTATCAATGAGCTCCTCCCCCAAAAAAAAAAAAAACAACGTATGGATCATATCTACTTCTCTTTTTAAAAAGTATTTTGGGGTGTTCTACCCTCTCTCTTTAAGCATAGATGAATCCCAATCACCTATTAACTTCCCTTTTTTCGTTTAAAATTGTAATGCACTCTGTTAATTACAAATAAGATTAAATAGTTTTATTTTGTTCTTGATTCCCTTGTTATCATCTGCCTTCGTGATTAATAATATTCTCATAAATTATCAAGTTGTATATCAATGTCTAACAAATTTTGATAACCTTTCTATTTAAAGTCGATCACTCAATTACGTCCGGTATGTTATAGTTTTTGCTAGTGTAAGCCCCCTCTATTGGTAATCTGTTTCGGAACATAGCCCTCTCTACACCAACAAATACAATGACTTTTTTCTTTTTTTTTTCTTTTTTCACTAATAGTTTGAGATGGTTCGGGTCTGTGCATAGCAGACATATAGAGGTCCCGATTAGGAGAGAAAAAGTTATAGAATCAAGAATTCAAATTAAAAGAGGTAAGGGTAGACTTAAAAATAATGAAACTATTAAAAATGATTTAAGAAATTAAATTTGACTGATAATTTAGGCACTCATTGAGCGCGATGACGACACATGATCCATCTTGTGGCAAAAAGATTTGTTGTTGTTGTACTCCATCAAGTTAATTAGCATATATTGGACAATTTAATCTTTCAAAACAAAAGGTTAATTTGAAAACTAAGAAAGTTTTTCGTCTCTTTCTAAGCTTATGACAACCCCATCATTCATATATATATACACCCATATATATATCCATCATATCTTTTATATGTCAATATTATGCTTCTTAATACATAAATTTTCATTGTGACTCTTGAACTTTTAAGTTCTATTTAGATACAACATCTAATTGCTTCATATGCATTCTCAAGTCACGAGTAAGATGGCCTAAATTGTAGCTTGCACTCAAGATATAGCTACCTAGACTGGACAAACTTTCAAATTAGCAAGCATGTAGCCGCCCTATTGTATAGCATAATAGGCTATGCTGAACAACGAATTTTTCCAAAATAATTGATAAATCTTCTATGTCTCACTGGTGTTATTTTCTCCATTCTCCATGCTTGTTTAGAGTGTTTACTTGTCGGTCAGATATAATATGTCCTGTGCTCTAAAAAAAATCTTTTTATTACATCAACAAAAATGACTCCAAGCTTAGGAGAAGAGCATTTGTTAACGAAATTCATTAATTTCATGATAAGTCTCCTCTTATAATCTATTTAAACTTTCTTGGGCTACATCCCTGAGCTTATCTCCTTTTCTAATCCCCATGCACCATATACAGTACTAATTTTCATCCCAAAAACATAATTTGCTTTGTTGAAAAAATATATTTTAACAAAATAAATTATTTTCATCTTGCCTCCCGTTCTCAATGCACATTAAGTTGACCGAATTTGCAGCATAAACTATAAAAATTGCAATGCGAGTGTATTGCCATTTGCAACCGACCTATTTTCTAGATTGCCCTAAAGGCCAAATTTTCCAAACTAAGAAATACAATCTTATGACTCCATTTGCGTTCTTTCTGACTACTTCCCGCCAATTCCGATCCGAAACCTCAGTTAATGAAATCGAAACTTGAAATATTCATAGACGATGTTAGCTGCGCTTTTCAAACCGTCGAGTTGGATTTCGAATTTTTTTTTAAACAAAAAATAATGTTATTAATAATAAAGGAATAGTGGGGCAGCGAATATACTAAACCCCATATCAAGTATAATTTTAATCTTAAAGTAAATTTCAATCCTTATTCGATGAACTCGAAGTTTTGCTTTAGCTTTGGCTTTTTCAAACGATTGTGATATGTTGGTGCAGAAATTTCACTATAAAAAGACTCTTGTGCCATTGCGTATTCCATATCGAAATCTTCATCTTCAGAACCATTGGAAACATGATTTAGTCCGGATTCGGAATTAATTTCTTCAATCGAATAACTTGGGTTAAAGAGCTTAGTATTGTTCCCTATCTCCATATCATCCTTAGACAAATACGTTTTTTGGGCCATAATTAGCTCTAAAATCGAGATAGTAAATTCTAGAACTTCGGGATTTAACCTTTGACTGGAGTTATTACTAGAGATATTTGGGGAAGAATCTTCTTTTTCTAAACTTGAGGGAGAGATTTGCTGCGAAGGGGAGTTTGACTTAGACGTTTCCTTATTCAAAAGCGAGATATGCTCATCAGATTGAGATAGCAGATTTGGGGGTAACAAAATTTTCCCTGCTGATGTCGCAACAGCCGCGGGCACAATTGACACGCATCTCAGAAGTGAATTAGCAGGGTTCTGCAGAATTCCCTTAGTATCCTCCATCGCCAGTGGCTGCTGCCGTTCTTCCATTGCCGGCAGTGGAGAATAATCCGCAGCAGCGTCAACCATCGGAGAGCCTTAATGACCAGCACTTGAAGAAGACGTCGTCAGGTTCATATTCGAACCTAAATGGCTTTGAGAATTTGAAATTGAATCGAATTGACTAGAGATTCCGCGCATCTTGGGCGTTGATTGCGCATCAATGGAATTCAGTTTTAGATTTTGCGAAATCGTTGGGATTTCCAATTCGCCGGCTGTCATTAGAGTTTCCCGCTGGCTCTGCACCATTGACGATGTAGCAGCCATCGGAGAAGATTGAAGTGAAGTTGACAGATTCAATCATTGGATTAGCAGCAACAACAGAAACCGGTTGAAGGGTTTCAGTCGCGGCTATGATTTGGGTCGCAACTATAGGTTTAGTCGCAACAATGGGGGTGGTGTGTTCATTAGCAGCAGCGGTGATATCTTCGGCGGCTTTCTAGTTTGCTGAGGTTTGTTGGTCATCATTAGCAGCTTGCAAGTTCGGAGACGATTGCAATGTTGTTTGCGCAACTTTAGAATGAAGGGGGTCTTCAACGGCAATGATTGGCGGAATCTGGTCCCCTCCATTAGCACCTAACAAAGACGGGATCCCCATAACATTGGAGGCCAATGAATTGATCTCGGATTCATCTCTGATTTGTACAACATTTGATTGCTTCCCTTGTGTTTGAATTTTTGATTGATGCTTTGAAGGTTGTGATTCTTTCTTTTGTGTTAATGAAGTTCGGGTGTTGTGTCGACAGGATTGAAGATCATGGCCAATCTTCTTGCAGTCAACACAGTATTGCGGCATGTTCTCATAGAAGATTGGTTGAAAATAAGTCATCCATTCAACTCCCAGTCTGATCCCAATATGATGATCCTTGAGAAGATCCAACTCTACACAGACCCGTGCCACAGACAGTCGTGACATGTTGAGGGTGGGAACATCTATTTGAAGTGGAGTACCAATGATACTAGCTAGTTTCCACAAGTAAGCCTTGTTGAAATGGTGGATGGGAAAGCCTTCGAAGGAGATCCAGACTGGTAAGATGGAGCTTTCATGTGCCGGATTAAAATCAGTGGTCCATTTCGAACTCGCATACGATGCGATTCAAAGGTCCATAGACTTTTTAACCAGCAACCATGAAAATCTTCTTCTAAATTGAAGCATATAGGATATGTCGTGAGTCAATCGATCCAAGAGAGAAGTTTCCTTTGAAACCGATAATTTGGAATTCTCTTCGTAAATAATCCATTTTCGGTCGGCCCTACAAGGGCTAGTCGGAAGGGTGCAGCCAATTGAACATCCTCTTCTTTGGTAAGAAGAAAAGTTAGCTTACCTTTGAATATCGTTGGTTGGGAATGAATTTCAAACTGACTTTGATCTTGATTTGTGATTGAGTGATTTTGTATGGTTTTTGGATTTGCCTTTCCCAAAATTTGAGCAAACAATGGTTTATTTTGTTGTGAAGGGCCTATGGCCGGCGGCGGATCGTTGGCCATGGGCGGAAGGGAAGAAAGATTTTAGAGAAGAAAGAGAGGAGATAAAAATGATTTTACTGTTTTGAGTTGGATTTCCAATTTTGATTAACAATTTTGCATAGAATATTAATAGAATTTAGTGTTTATTCTTTTTAATGCATGAATTTCAAATTGTTATTTGCACATTATACATTTCAAGGTTCCAGTCACGCCGAGGTGAGTGGGAACGTCTACTAATTTCTTAAAAATTAAAATTGAAATGAAGGAAGGTTGCGGTTTCATTCCGATTCAAAATGAGTAGCTCAATCCAACGCTTATAAAGAATTAGTTTGATTGAATCCCGTGACCTTGAAAAACTCAAAACATGGGGATGAACCAGACTGTGCATCCCAGCAACAGTTTCTCTAAATGATGAACAACTGTTTATTTTTTTAGAATTCCTTCAATCCCAAATTATTGTTCAGTTTTTATTTTATTTTTTATTAAAATTTGTAATAAAGTTAAAATCTAATACTACAAGAATTAAAATTGTTAATTACAACATTTTTTGCAGTAACAAAAAAGATCACAAAACGCTGCCGTCAGTTACGACTTCATAAGTTGTAACAATATTCTGTTACAACATTTACAATCGTTAGAAAATGATTTAATAATAACAACCTAAGAGTCGTCACAGTATTTAGTGCAACTAGAGAATATTTTTGAGACAGAGGAAGTGGTGTATGATATCTAAAACAAAAATTTGAGTCACATTTTCAGTGGAATTCAGTTGGAGTTGGGATTAAAAAGAATAATAATAAAAAAGTCCCACATTTTCAATTTATAATGTCTTAAATATATATAATTGTTCAGTTTGAATTTTTCAGTTTTAGTATTAAAACTTATATTAGAACTGAAATATATATTCCCTCAGTCCCGAAATATGTATTCCTTCGATCCTCGAAATGTTATGCTAAATATGAAAAATGTAAATAGGACAATCATATCAAAACGGAAGGAGTCCACTCTAAATACTTATGAGAGTTTCAATATTAAAACGGAAAATTTCAAATTAAACAATTATTTCGGGACGAAAAAATTATATAAATTCACCCTAAGTACTTTTGAGATAGAAACTCGAGTTGTACGTAGACATTTTGTGACGTTATGACTATATATTGAGACAGATTGAGGACACACCAATATAAAGGCTACAGCCATCACCTATCCTTATCCCCGCTATATACACAGAACTTAGATCCCCCTACATAAAGCACTGCCACACTTTGAAAGGAATTCACTTACCTTCTCAACGCACATAATTTGTTGACCTAACTTGGCCTTTTTGGCCACACTACTGTATAGATTGGCCATACCTGCGAATAAACTTTCCCAAATTGGGCAATCCCCTCTATATTCTTATGTCCCCCCTCTTGGTTAGGTCATCGAGCTCGCAAGTGACATTTACAACTGCTGGTACACTGGATAAAAATATTTCATTTTCTCGGAATGCCTTTTTTTTTTCTTTACAAGTAAATTTTATCAAAAGAAAACAATTTTTACGTAAAAGAAGTGCACGAAATGGGTTTGTCGCACCTAGTTAGCAAACTAACAACATCTAGATACCTAAATGCATCAAATCTACTACAACAAATTTTCATACCAAAATTAAATTTTACTCTGAACTATCACCAACTACTCTAACTTAGCACTCATTCTTTAATATTTTCTCAAATTCACATACAGAACATACACGGCCGGAGGCGTGATGGGTGTCAAACCAACAATTATTAACCTACTCTAAAACGCAATAAAGCGGCAAGTAGGGTCGAATCTCACACAGAGGTAAGCAAATATCCAGTTTAACAAATAGTGATCAAAAGAGAAAAGAATGAAAACAATCTCCTAAAACTAAAGTTGTGATGGGAAAAACAAATAAAGTGATGCAAACAAGTTCAATTATTTATTTCTACTTAATTTTTGAATTAGGATCTAAACTAACAGTGGCAAATGAATGTTGGTCGGATCTCCTAAATATATCCTTAACCTCTTTCCGAAGTCATAAGAGTATCCCTAAAATTAATCACAAACTAATATTACTATAATTGCATTTAATTGTAGTGTCATTAGAAACGGGTATCACATATGCCTATCCATGCCTTACCAGTATATTCCTATCTTGCATGAAACCATAAACTTTTACGTTGTTGTCATGATTTATCCTTCCTAGAGCTAAAACTATCCACTCTATTCCTAGTAATGCATAATTCTCAGATACACACAATTATCAGACGATTGTATGGAATTAAATCAGGAAGAATAATCATTCATGAAAACACCAACATAGTGTAAAATTTAATTCAAACAACATCTGTGTACTTTAAATAATTGAACCAATCAACTACTCAAACGACATAATAAAATAAAACAAACTAGAGTGCAGTGCGAAAGACAGCAGCAAGGGGCTGCTGCCCCTTTCTTTGTTGCGCGCAAGACCAAAAAGCCTTGAACTCCGTAGCTCTCTGCCGCAAGTCTACCCCAGCCGAACTCTCCCGGTCGAACTCCTCTAAAGCATAAGGTACGTGCTGCTTTTTATTTTAGAATCTAGGGCATCCAAACTCTCACTTAATCATGTGGGCCAATTTTTAATTAATTGACCCAAAGACCAATTTCATTTGCAAAGCCTTCTCGCTGGTCCAAGGAAATGGAGTAGTCCATCACTTAATTAATCATCATTCACCAGCCACTTTAGATACCAAACCCCCACGGCCAAACTTGGAATGTGGTTGTTTATTTTTTACAATTTTGGCCTTTTCAATTCCAAGCTTCTTTACCTCCTTCTTGTAACTTTTCTGTGTCTTCGCTTCAACCCTTGAGATTAGTTTTCTCTTTCAATTAAGTCCATTCTATCCAGATTTACTCCAATCATCATCAATCTCCTTAATCCTGTAAACAAAGATTTATTAAGTAAAATCATTTTTAAAGCATATAAAAATAGTACAAAATCTTAAGTGAAGATTTATGAAAATGTATGTAAATAACTGACTCATCAAACTCCCCCAAACTTAAGACTTTGCTTCTCCTCTAGCAAACAAATTCAAAACTCATTTTATTAGTAAAAAAACATACAAAAGCAGCAAAGAGGATTACCAAAACTTGTCTCAGATTCAAGTCTCATCAGGGACAAATAATTTACACTAGAGTTCAGTATCATTTGAGCAAGACAGAAACTCACTTTCGTGAGTGTGTGGAACAGACCACAAAACAGTATGTTGCTTAACTTATTGTCCATTCTAAGATTAGGTTCAATTTATTTCGGATGGACATTCTTGGGATCTGTACCTATTTCCTTCTTGCCTTCAACTAGGTTATTCTTATTGACGTTTAGAACTAAGGGCTTCCTCTCATTTATGCAAGCATTATTGGCTGAATCTTTTCACACTCGTATCTTTTCTTCCTTGGTCCAATTAGCTTTTCTTCGGGCTCATTTCCACTCAAGCATTTAACAAGATCATGTCTCAGCAAATATGGTAATCAAAGCATTTAATTTCTTTTTTTTTAATCTCACCAAGCCTGAGGACACT